CAGTTTCGTTTAACAGTAATCGGTGATTATCGGTAATGATTCTCTTTCCTCGATGATCTTCTTCAAGAAGTCATCCAGTTGCTGTTTCTCTTTAATCTCTTCAACCAGTGCTGGTTGAGCAGAAATAGCAGCTAAGGTTCCACCTTGTTCTCGTAAAACAATTTCGATTTCAGATTTTTCAAGGTCACAAAGCAACTCTTTCTGTCCTGTAAGCAAACAGGCTAAGTTTCCAATCGATTTCCGGCTCAATGCATCGGCAACGGTATTGGCTTTTCCCGGATAAGGCTCAAGTGTGTGTATATGAGATAGTGGCAAAATGGTAAATATGGCAAACTCTTTAATTGGCTTATTTTAATCTAATTTAATCATACCTAATCAGTTTTCAGATAAATATACCATAAAATCACATTAATTATGAGGGTCACGGAACATCAATCGGTTTCTAGTTCGGCCGCCGATAAGGCCTTCAATTAGCAGTTTAAACATATAAACATGAACAGATAATCAGACAATCGAACAGATAGAATGCAATTAACTAACATATACTCAGTCAATTCAGTTTCAACTTCAGTCAGTCGGTTCAGTATTTCATTCAGTTCGATTATCAGTTAGTTATCAGTCATTATCAGCTTCGTTTAACAGTAATCGGTGATTAACGGTAATCAATCGGTCATAAATCAGTAAACAGTACGAGGGTTGTTACAAGGGTTTTGGGAGATGAAGAGTTTTTTTGGTGAGTGTGATGTTTTTAGAAGGATAGTTTTGATAGTATTTTGAGGGTTCTTAGAAATTTTTAAGGATTTGAATTTTGTAGGTGGGAGCCGAAAGAATTTAGAAGTTCTAAAGTGTTAATTGTTGGAATGTTAATAAGCAGCACTCATTACAAAAAAAAATAAAAAATAATTTTGAAATTTCATTTGATTTTTATAATTTCTTTTGATAGCCAACATAAATAAGAATTATTCAGGCTGAATGACATTCATTAAAGGAATTTAGTAAATGAATAGTCTAAAATTTAATTATTTAAATGAGTTTTTTTGTATTTAATTTTACCCCCAAAAAGGTAATTTAAAATTTTCTAAAACTTTAATATTGAATAACTCATCAAGATTAATTAATGCAGTCTTTTCTTCATCTTTTTCTTTCATTTTTAATTTTTTTTTCTTCACATTTTCATTTTTGAAGAACTACTCAAATTGTTTTCTGTCATAGTAAACATAATATTGATAGCCTCTCACCTCTTCATATATGACTTGGATCTTTTCTTTTGTAAGGACGAAGACATCTTTTTCAACAACATCAGACCATTCATTTCTCTAGTTTGGGTTTCTCAGCAATTAGATCTAAACTTTGTTTTTATTTGCGTTTCATAATACACTTAATAGGTGTGCACACTTTGTATTTAATATATATATACACACATGTATAACCACCATAATCCATCACCAAAATAAAATAAAAAACAAAAACACACACAGATATCAACCCATCCATTGCCCTCTTGTTGTGATGACTTTTACAGTTGTGATTAGGGGTGTGCATAATACCGCCGAAACCGCCAAAACCGCACCGAACCGCACCGCCAAGGCAAATTCGTTATTATTTGTCAATTGAACCGCCGGTTTTTGGTAAGAAAAATGGCAAATTCTAATGACACTTTTATCAATCCGCCGGTTTCTATTTTTCTTCCAAACCGCACCGACCCGCACCGCTATTAAATCATGTTTTATAGGATTCTAAAAATTCTTTTTTACTTAAGTTTGCTTGTTGTTCTATATCTTAGAATATAGTATTACATTACTGCTCGAGATGAATTTTATGTATTGTATTTGATCATTGTAGCTTCCACAGATGCTTGTAATGAACTGATGGTATAGTCGTTGATATTATCATGTTGTTGCTACACTTGCTGCATCAGAAGAAAGCTTCACAAGATGCTTAACATTACGATATCTCTCGTCTTTTTTTTACTCTTTGATTTAAGTTTTGTAATTTGAATTATATTTTTTATAAACCGCCAATCCGCCCGAACCGCCAAGGCAAATCCGCCATTATTTGCTAACCGAACCGCCGGTTTTCGATAAGAAAAATGGCAAATTCTAGTGACACTTTTATCAATCCGCCACCCGCCATACGGTTTCTATTTTTCTCTCAAACCGCACCGACCCGCACCGCGCACACCCCTAGTTGTGATGAAACTTCCCCGGAAGGAGATGAACATGATGAGCTCTAGTCGTTATTAATCTATAAAACTTACATTCTAGTCGTTATTCACATTACATTTCGATAGGTATTCAATTTAATAAACTTGACGAATTTTTTAATCGTACAACAAAATAATGTAAAATAGACATATATTTCCATATATAATTGATTTTATATATTGCAAAACAAATATGGATAAGAAGGGATTATGTATCCTATTAATCTAACTAGATAACCAATCCTACATTAATCTCTCATGTTTGTTTGGGCGGACTGGATTAGCATTCCCATGATTAATAATCCTGGGATTACAAATCCGTTGGATTATGTATCCTATCTTAACTAAAAGTCAAGTTTAAAATAATTAGTCCGTACTTCAATTGTTTAACCAAATATCGGATTAATAATTTTATTGGACTATTAGTCCAATCCCAAGCTCATGTCCACCCAAACAAACATGACCTTAAATTATTAATCGCCTCATTACTAATCCTACGTATCAAATAGAGCCTTGAAACCCAAGTTGAAGTTGAGGTAAACTAATGAAAAATGAAATTGCATCTCAAGGTTGGTATTAGGAGCCTAATATGTTTTTTCAGTCGTAATTTAAAAAAATAAAAAATAAAAAATAGACATGCGTGTAAATCTTAATAAGTGAACTTATTGTCCAATAGATTATATGATAATTAATGGCGTTTTTCATCAAACACTATAAAAAAAAATCACTAATTGTTAATTTTAGGGACAATTTGAAAATATTGTCAAAAACATGTCACTTATTATAAGTTTTAACGACAATTTAAAAAAATTGTCACAAAAAAAATTTTATTTTTAACTTTTAGCGACAATTTATAAAAACCATAAAAAAAAAAATCACTAATTGTTAATTGATGGCAACATATGCAAAAAATAGTCATAAAAAATTATTTTTAACGACGGTTTTACTAAGACTTTTTTTCAATAAGATTTTATGAAAATTAAATCCAATTATTAAGAGTTATGGGTAGTTTAGCCTAAAAAAATGGCACGTTTCAATTGGGACTTCTAAGATTATATGGGTCATAATTGCTGCCAAATCGGTGTGAAGTATGACAAAATTACACACTGCCATTAGCATTACTTAACCACATCCATTGACCGTTTCTGTCAAAAATGGTGGCTGTGATTGTCCTGTGCTGGGGTTTTGGAATTGAGGGATGGTGGTGTACTACCGGTTGAGGGCAGTAGCGGTGGGTTCGCAAATGACACTGGTGGTAGAAAAGAAGAAAATGGAGAGAGAGAGAGAGGGAGAGAGAGAGAGAGAGCTGGCACTGGTGGACGGCCAGTGGCTGGTGTGTGGCGTACAGCATGGGCGTCTCTTGAATTGAAAAAAGGTTAAGAGGACATGCCAACGGGTGAAGCTGAACTGAGAACTGTATCCAAATGATACCAAAAATACCAGAAACAAAGAATGGGAAAGAAAGGTTTTAGGAATCTTGAATAACCATAGAAACATGATCCCAGAACAAAGCTAGCTGCACAGTAATAACTCCAATTGATCTACAAACCAAAAAATCTTTTAGAAATCCAACCCATTTACACTCCGCCGACCCATAACAAGTTCAGAATTTTTAAAAACAAAAATATTGTTTTAAGAAAGGTGTCTTTAGTTACCACATGATTTTTATAGATAGCATTCTATAGATTTATAACTGCTCTTTCCATATGCGGCCAGCCACTTTAAGCTTCAGCTCCTGCCCATCACCACCGGAAAAGAAGAGTGCCAAGTTTCTCTGGATAATCAGTCCATCCAGACTATCTCTAACTGTCTTATGAGTATCACGAATGCTCCTTGGAACTCCTTGCCATGTTAGTTTCCTCCCATTCCCACCAACTTCCAAACTGTAACTGAACTTTTTGGCCTCGTGATCATCCCCCATAAACCGCAAGAAGGCCATGTAAACAGGTGCCATTCCTATATTGAATGCCTCAAAGTGCAAGCAAAACTGGTGGCCAAAACAGTTGAAAACCTGCACCAGATAACAGAACCAATCATGTTTCTCAATTCTTTTAGTGTTGATTGATTGAACAACAAGGTGTTGCCAATGTTTTAAATGAAATAAAATGCTTCTGGGGATGCAAGATGATAAACATAAAAGTGAACCAAGCATTTTTGTATGGGTTCTTGAGAAAAAACAGGGAAAAAAAAAATAGAAAAAGAACTAATTAATCTCTTCTTTTTGTCTTCTTTCAGGCTAAACAAAGAACTACGCATAACAGGCTTCAAGGAAAATTATGTATCACCCATTGCATGGACAATACTTAAAAAAATCAGATAAGTTGGTCAATGCAAATAATCAATGTTTGATAGTGTAAAAAGAGTTGGACTGGTGATCAAACAAATTAATTGGATAGGAAAAATGAACTACCCTTGCTTAATTAAAGCACCAAAAAAATTTAGGATTTGATCATTATTTCCTCGAGGAAAAATTTATCAAATAAGTCAAAATCTGAAGGATGAAGTTAGCTGCATGGAAGGTGGATAAAGGATGCAAAAGTGGGAAGAAAAAAAATTAATTCAATTACTTTTGGGATTGGGATTTGATCCTTATCACTAGCACGCACAAATTAGTATAAAACCAAGGCTAATTGCTAAGACTAACAAAGTTTTGTCATAATAGGCTTGAGAAATAGATAAATTGATACACACATACATAGTAGATATATATATGTATATATATATAGAGAGAGAGAGAGAGAGAGAGCTCACTGTCAACATCCATGTAGCATTTTCAACATCTTGGGGATTGGATTTGACATATCGATGGTTGAACGTACAGCCATCATGCATGTCAACCTTGTGATCATCCTTGAGATGCGCAACAAGGAACTGGATATCACCATTGGCATTGCATTCAGCTCCAGCATAAGGGCAATTATATGGGCGGAACCTGCAATTCTGCTCGTGCCTGAGTCTGCTATGGTAAGGGAATATATCTTGACAACCCAAGAACTGGTATCTGCATGGCAGTTCAAGCATTTCTGCTATTTTCTCCAGAGCCACACACCTTATGTTTCCAAGCTCTTGCCGGCAAATTGGGCAGCAATTGTGTACTTTAGTCTTGCAGTTCAAACATATAGTGTGGCCATTGGGACACTAGATACAGGAAAAAGAAGATTTTAAAAGAAATATATATATATATATATGTTCTAAGGGTCTTGCTAATAAGTGCCCCTAGGACACCAGAAAAGGACAAAAGATATGTCAATCTCAAGGCATTAATTACAAAATTCAATACACTTTTTATGAATTTCAAAACACTTTATAATCATTTTACACTTTTTCAATACATTTTTTCTCAGTCTCAATATTAATTTGCCAGGTTATAATAAGAATGAGTTCTGAAATCAACATATAAGTCAGGCAGAAATGAAGACAATGGACCGCAACATCATAGCTACCAGGAAATTCAGTGTATTCTCCTGCCACTTCAAAAGGCAAGGTGCATGGTTCAAGCCACAATAGGGGGGAGAGAGAGAGAGAGAACTGCGTACTAGTCCTATTTTTTGCTTTCACACAAAGAAAAATGGAAATAGCCTAAATAATATCGTGTAATGGGTGTAATCTTGACAGTAATGAAAAAAAAGAAGCTTTTTTAAGGCCCATTTGGTTGAGCAAATTGAATTATTTCATTCGTGATTAAATAATTCAAAATAAATGCGATTGTAAATGAGTTCACTTAAAAATTTGTGTAGGCATTGAACTAACAGGTTTTGAATATCCCAAATTTAGATTAGGTCATACTATATTTTAAACAAAATGAAATGATCACTTCTAAATGTTCGTACAGAATGCAAAACATGCAGATTTTGAGTTGTTTCACTCTTGCAACCAAACACATTTAATTATCTAATTGAAAATTGTCTAATTTTGAATGGCCCAATTCACATTTTGTGACAACCATAAGGACCCTTGGTAAACTAACCCAAAAAATGAGATGAACAAGCTCTGTAGAGCTAGTTATCCTTTTAAGGTTTTTAAAAATCAAAAAAAAAACAAAAACAAACAAACAAAAAAAAACAAAAACCAAAAAAAACAAAAAACAAAAGAAGACAAAACAAAAACATACATTGTTTTGCATCAATCTCTAACAATAGCTGCTTTCAAGAAATATCCATTTCCTTGTGTCCAAAGAAGAGAATTTTCTACAACATACACCATATTGACTTTCGTAGTGGCAGCATTGATGAAAAACATGAAAGAAAGAAAAGAAAAAAAAATGACAAATCTGAAATTTTACATAGAGCACGTTTACAGCATCATGGAATCAAATTTTGCAGTGTTCTTAAGCCTCTATGTTTATTTTAATTTAGTACGTTGTTGGATAGGTTTATCTCATGATAATTTCAATCGTAGATGAGCAATAGTCATAATCCTGTGAGAATATTAGTGTATCTCTATATACGGTAGTATATATTTTGTATATATGTTGAGAGATTGTGAGGGATTGTAAATATTCTCTTTCCTTTTCAGTCTTAGGGTTAGGATTGCTATATAATCACATGTATCCTAGTATTACATTCACAATTGAATATACAGATTATTATTCAAAAATCTTACATGGTATCAGAGCTATCACTGAAACCCTAGAAGTTGCTTGTCTCTCTACACCGTAGGTCGTGGTCTTCTCCCTTTATCGCGAGTGACTGCTTGTCTAGTTCTTTTATTCGTAGGTCACTCTCTTTCTCTCTCTCGATCAACTGGTCTGTCTAGGTTGATTTGTTCATCAGTTGTTTGGGTTCAACTCGCGACTCCTCTTAGCCTTAGCGAGTCACGAAACCCTTTCAAATCATCTGGGTTTAATTTCTGGTTTTTTGGTTCACTGGTCTTCTCTCTCTAGTTTTTTGGTTCGTTGGTCTTCGTCTTCGTCTTCGGCTTCTCTAGTTCTCAACTTGCGATCTCTCTCCTTCTCTGATCATCGCATCTGCTAGTCGTGACCTACCTAGTTGCTTCGACTGGTATTGGTTCGAAGAGACAGAAAAATCATGGTCTCTTCTTTGCTTGAGACTCAGGATTCGTATCTCTCTCCTTCGGGGCTTCGACTCTGAGTGGTTTTTGTCTTCTCTGAGGCTGTTTTCTTCCGATTTATGAGTTGCCCACTGATACTTGACTTATCCAGTACTGTGTTTCTTGTGTTTTTGGCCTATTACAGTTTGACCCATCTAGTTCTAGTTCTGGTTCTGGGTTTATTACACTTGAACCCCTCAGCTTTCTGGTTATTGTGATGTCTCTAGATTCTAATGAGTGTGCCTTCTGTGCCATCAAAAGGACCATTGGAAGTACCACTGTCCCAAGAAGGGACATCTGCCTGCCTCGTCTTCTCTACAGTCTCAGATCCAATTCCGCGCTCCTCCTCAAAATACTTTTTAGCCTTCCACTGCTTATACTAAATCTGCTCCGGCTCTTGATTCTGACTTGACTCCCTTGAGTGCACAGATTGCTCCACTTCAACATATATTGTCTACCTCATAGCTATCCCTGTCTGCCTCCTCTCTTTCCTCCCTTCATTTAGGTTTGCTTGGGTCTTCTTCAAGTATCTCTTTGTCTGTCTAGATTTTGACTCTGGCGCCTCTCATTATATGACTCCTCATGTCTCCTTACTTTAAAATTGTACGCCTTTTCCCTTTCATATTACTGTTGATGCGACTAATAGGTCTGGTATATCTGTTATATCTGTTGGGTTTGACCTATGTTTGATATGTCTGCTGTCACTATTCCATCTGTCTTTTATGTTCCTCAGTTATCTGTCAGTTTATTATCGATCAGCCAGCTTAATGTCTCCGGTCTTGATGTTATCATTTTTTCTTCTATCTGTTTTGTGCAAAATCGAATGTCCAAGCAATAGATTGAGATCAGCCATAGAGTTGGAGACCTCTATGTGGTGGAGAGCTTACATCTGCCTATGACTACCTCTCCAACTGGTTTTTCCTCTTTTCAGTCAGATTATCTGTTAAGTCCTTATTTGTGGCCTTCTCAATTAGGATATTTGTCTGCTGACTGCTTACCATCTTTAGCTTAGTTAGGTTTATTGGGTAAAATTTCTCTTAATCAACTTACCAAGTGTCAGGGGTGTAAACTTGTCATTTTAGTCTTACATTTTCGTAAAAGTACTTCTATTTAGTTCATATTGATGTCTGGGGCCTTTCTCTTGTTTTCACTAAAGAGGGTTCTATATACTATGTGTCATTTGTTGATGACTGCACTCGTTACGCTTGGGTTTTTCTTATAACTCATAAGTCTGACTTCTACCAGATATACCGTACTTTTCAGTCTATGATCGCTACACAGTTTGGATCTATTATTAAATTGTTATGGTCTGACTTGGGTGGGAAATATTTTAAAACTGAGTTCTGTGAATATTTGGTCAACTTGGATACCATCCACCAAACTTCTTGTACTGATACACCCGTCCAAAATAGTCAAGCTGAGCGTAAACACCATCATCTCCTTGAGATAACTAGGTCTCTTCTTCTCTCTACCTCTATTCCAGCTCCATTTTGGGGTAAAACAGTTCTTATCGCTACTTTCCTTCTCAACCAGCTGCCAACTCCCTTTCTCTCTGGCCGTTCTCCTTATGAGGCTCTATTTTCTTAAACGCCGAATTACTTCCTCCTTCACGTCTTTGGATCTGCTTGTTTTATCCTTCTTTCCCGTAAAGATAAAACCAAACTTAGTGCCCGGTTTGTCCTCGATGTCTTTTTGGGTTACAGCCTTACCCAAAAAGGCTATCGTTCCCGTCGCCTTTATATCTCCCGCCATGTTGCCGTTTTTGAACGTTTGTCATACTTTCAACTTCCTCCTATCACTGCCCCGGTTTCCAAAGAGGATTTGGTTAACATAGATCCATTTCCTTCTGAGGTCCCCCCTGATGAGTACATCTCTACTGTTCTCCATGAGCTTGTTCCCTCTTTTCCTCCTACCCACCCTCCTGTTGAATCCTTCTCTATTGTCCCCAATGAGTCTGTTCCCTCTTCTCTTCCGTTGTTAGTCTATTCTCGTTGCAAGGTTGTTCCCTCACCAATTGTCTCCTCACCTACTATTGCCCTTCCTGCTTCTAAAGACACTAATCTTGTTACATGCCGAACAGGTTGGTATTTTAATACATGTTTTTCTAATTAATATCGTACCTTCTTGTTTACTGTTCATTCTTTTTCAAAACCCCAATCCTACAAGGAGGCTCGTCAGGATCTTAATTGAAAACCAAGTTGATCACAGCACCAGTCTTTGTACTACCATCAAGTACGGAGGAGTTTGTTATTTATAATGCTACATCTTATAAAGGATTGGGTTGTGTCTTAATGCAAAACAACAGAGTTATTGCTTATGTTTCACGCCAATTAAAATCACATAAAAAGAATTATCCAACATGTGATTTAAAATTGGCAGCCGTTGTTTTTACATTGAAAATATGGCGTCATTATCTATATGGGGCTACATGTGAAGTGTTCACAAACCACAAGAGCTTGATGTATTTGTTCACGCAAAAGGAGCTCAACATGAGACAAAGGAGGTGGCTAGAATTGATGAAAGATTATGATTTGCAAATTTAGTATCATCTTGGCAAAGCAAACACCATGGCAAACGCTCTTAGCCGAAAGTCAATGGAGAACTTGGCATGCTTATTCACCAAACAAGGAGACATACTACAAGATTGCAGAAAATGGAAGTGGAATTGGTCTTACATGAGACTGAAGGGACTTTAGCTGCAATTTCAGCCCAACCATCAATCATTGAAGAAATCAAGCAAAAGCAATTGGAGGATGCTTACTTCAAGAAAGTTTTTGATGATATTGATTCAAAGCCAAGACCGGGATTCACAATCAAAGATCAAGTGTTGCAATCTAGAAATACCAAAATGTATCAAAACCTCAAGCAAATCTATTGGTGGAAAAACATGAAAAGGGACATAGCAGAATTTGTTTCTTGTTGCCTTCAATGCCAACAAGTTAAAAACAGAACACCAAAAGCCAGCCGGTATACTTCAACCTCTCTCTATCCCAGAATGGAAATGGAAACATATCACAATGGATTTCGTAGTTGGCTTGCCTCGCACACCAAGAGGTATAGATTCAATTTGGGTCATTGTAGATAAATTG